CAGTCAGCGTCATGTGTAGCTGGGTTTCGTTCTGAGGTTGAACTTGATTCTTTATCCTCGCCCTGAGCTCCTTGGGCCTTTCTCCCTGGCACACGTCCCTTCCACGGGCTTTAGGAGGGAATGAATTCTCTTGTCTATCCCAGCACTGAATGGGCCGCATGTCTATGTTCCCTCCCTACGAGCCATATTTGCGTCTGAATTGAAATCTGTCTCTATACTGCCCTTTGAAAGCTGCGTGTGATGATTTCCAGTTCACTGATGACTCTTTTTCACCCCTAGGTGAAGTGTAAGGACTGTGGGGCCTTCGGACACACGGCCAGAAGCCGAAGGTGCCCCATGGAGTCCTGGGCTGGATCCCTGGTCCCTCAGAGCTTGGGCTCCAGGAAGGGGAAGGAAAACCTGGAGCCTAAGAAGCCCCAAGACCTCCAGAACCCAGGACCCATGAACAAGGACAAGAGAGAGGACCAGAGACTAAGGTAAGCGAGGTGAGAGGCTGTGACCCCTTCCTGGGCACTACCCGCTAAGGAAGGGGTGTCTCCACCTCCCACCAAGTGAACACTCACCCCCAGGTGAGGACAGGGAAACTGGAGAGAAATAGACAGGAGTTCCACCCAGGAGCTCTCTCGACTACAAAAGATTCACACACACACACACACACACACACACACACACACCCACACACACACACACACACACACACACACAAAATCTCCAAAGGATGGGGCCAGGGCAATTTTGGTTTTTATACATGATCGACAGAAAGTCCTTTGTGGAAAAATGGAAGGGCTGCCTGGATTAGAGTTAGGATTTGACAGGAGAGAAGGCAGAGAATTAGAAAGCTCTTGAGATGTGAAACCCTGCATCACCATCTCTAAATAGAACTGGGTCTGGCCAGGTTTCTCGCAGCTTTAGACAGGAATTTGGGGTGTATCAACTTACCACTGTTTGCTCCGCAGGCACGAAGAACAAGAGGGAAAGGTGCCACCCCAGAAATGTCCCAGGAAACCCCCAGAGAGGCAGCTGCACGATTGCAAGGAACTGACGGAATCCTGTGGCTTTCTGAGGGTGAGTGTAGCCTTGGTTCCCTGCTCCTGGCTCTCCTGGGAAACCAGATGTTTTCATTACAGGCTCCGCACGTGTGGAGGACCTGAGAAAGAGACATGTCTCGTTTTCTCAGTGACAGGTAGTTCTGCCTCCTTTCAGGTCCACTGGATTCCAGTTTGTGCACATCTCAGGTGACATTTTGACATTTTCTTTGTTTTTGTAAAATCTACACTTGTTTTCAACTTGCTATTGGAGGCTTGCGGAAATTGTAAATCAGAAGCCTCCAAAAGCTAGAATCTTACATATAAGATCTTGCAAATTAATGACAGATAAATATTCCCAAATGGTCATCAAAACTCCTTAACCATCATGCT